GCAGGCATGTAGTTACACTTCCAAATCCCGCCGTGCAGCAAAAGAGTGTCTTATTATTGCATCTTATTGCCTTAACGTGTCGCTCTGCTTTGCTGAATTTTGTGGCCTCAATGATGCCTGTGGTAAAGTCCGTAAGACTAGACGACCTGCACAAGACTGGAAAAGAAAGTCATGGTCTCTGAACGAAAACAAGATGTTTCTTAGCTTAAGTTCGTTTGAAAAGCTCATCCTTCTCCGATAAAAGCAGAGACGGAAATGTTGATACAATGGTTCTGAGATCGCGTATAAGTAACATTTGAAGTGAAAGACATACACATTGTTACCCATGCCCGTACTGCCTGTGCTAGTATTTTACATCTACCCCTGTAGGTCATCGACTGTGGACATGGAGTAGCATTCTTCGGCGCTTATTACACTCACCACACCCACAGTCACAATTGAGTGCGGAAGGACGTAGGCGTTAATGGGTAGGTGGAATAGAGGATGGTTGGAGGCAATATTTGCGTGGTTGTAACTCGCCCACTCACATAAACAACAAGCTTGGAAAAGTAAACAAGCTTAACTGAGACTATATATGTGCACGCGATGCAGGCTGTGCACACCCGGTCCTTAAGCGACTAAGGCTAACAAAACTGCGAGACAGCATGCAATCACCGTCAGCCCCGTTCTGCCTTCTTATTCTTTCCTTGCTTGTCGCTTCATCACACGTCTCCGCTGCCGTGCTGCCAGATGGTGAGGCCGTGCCAAAATTGGAGAAAGACCTCTTCGAGGTAGCCGACATCCTAGATAATGAGGAGGCTGCTGAGGCAGGAGAGGAGGAGGAAGAGGAGGAAGTGGTGGAGAAAACCAGTGAAACAGACCATCGAGCAGATGTCCTTGTTCCAGCAGGATGGGGCAGCCTCCGACGGAGAATCGGTGGTGCTTTCAGAAGGGTCGGTGATGGCATTCGAAGAGTGTTCAGGGGTCCTTGGAAAATCTGCATACCTTCGTGTCCAAAGGGCGGGAGAAGACCACGATCCTGGGACGCATAGACTGACTGCATTTGGACACGAATACTTTTTAACAATAATAGCTGCTTAAGTCAATCAATTGTACTGATGTCCAGTGATGACTATACAATGTCACAAATACACAGCCGTGAATAACCGATTTCGCCTTAAATCTACGCAATTCATTTTGGTGAGTTGCACTTCGCCTGTTCGCATTTTAGTGGTCACGTCAAAGGGGGTGAAAATGGGCACTGCAACTGTAAAAAATGCCCAAAAATTCTGGACTTGGTCGGTGCAGAAATGCACTCCTCTCTCATCCTTCATCTCCTTCGTAAAAGATGGCCAATTTTCCGTTCACAGGCCCTTCTCTTTTGGCCGATAATGGTAAACTAGTCAAATTGTGCACTGTTTAGACTTTGTTAAATTGATTGAAC